ATCCAAAGACTTGGTGATTTTCTGTTCAAAAGGGTGCACTTTGATTTTTGCTGCTTGTCTCTCCTCACACTTAGCTTCTTGTGCAGATCTATCATACTTCCAGCAATCTTTTTCTATTCATTTAAATTTTTGAAATGTAGCACTTAAGAGGTAAGGGTTTGATTCTGTGCACATAGATTTGCAAAATAACAATGTGATTAAGGTCCTTTGCTCAACTCTGTTTATTTTGTAACATTTTACTGTGAAGAAGCATGTGATCTCTGCAGACACAAATGCACAGTTCTGAGAACTGTAAAACCAAGCATCTGATAATTTCCAGCTAGAAAATTGCCTAATAACCAAAAATTTAAACATTGCCTGAATATGCAGCCTCATGCTACATAATTAAAAACTATTCATTATTTCACGGTGAATAACCTTTGGACTGTAATATATTTTAAATAGAAACCAGCTTTAGATAGCCTTTTCTTCCAAAACCATTTTATTTTTAAAAATAGAATTTAAATTTAAAAAATCTGTTTTCTTTCTTTTTTAAAATCACTGATTTTTATCCACCCTGATATTTATATACTACCCTGTTCCCATAGGCTCTGGGTGGTTTACAAGGAACCTGTATCCATTGGGCAGCCAGTACCATTTCCTATGAATAATAGACTTGAGTGTCTTCTGGCCCAAGTCTGGTGTGGCCAAGCCCGGACTCTGCCTGTTTCCCTTGCTTGGGTCTTCGTGTCAGCCTGATCTGTAGGTGAAATGGGCTAAAGTTGCTGGCTAAATTTAAAGGGAGAAGAAAATGAATGGTGCAATTTCTAGATGCAGAAGTTTTTTTGTGTGTGCTGGGGATTTCATATCCTGCCTCAGCCTTCTCCAACCTCCAGATGTTTTATATTACAGCGTTCAGGATTTTTGACCATTGGCCATGCAGCAGGCCATAAAACACGGTACCATTTATGGTGTGGGAAATTTTTGTGCCAATGTACATGTATAGAGCTCCTGCAGAAGAGATAGATTCCTCCTAAACAAGTGGTGGCAATTATCAGTGGAGGTCTATGAAGTCTTGCCTAATGGTTCCTCTCTAAAGTAGCTAGCTGTGTGTCTACTTTTCTTGGATAGACAAATGGCATTGAGTCAGCTGTGGGATATATTGTTTTTTTAATTTGCAAATGGGTGATTTCTGGATTGCAGGTCATGATGAAACATGCTGGTCAAGAGGTTTACAGTTTCAAATATCAGTGAATACTAGTGTCTTTGAGAGACTTTGTGGATGTACATAATTGTAGTATGGCCAATAGAAAGCCTGATACATTAATAAATGTCTACTTTTATTTTTAGCTGTTGATATTATGAGAACATTCTTGCATGTTTTGATGTATTTGTCTAACAACATAGGAGACTGAGAAAATAAACAGTAAGCTTCCACTTTTTGTTCAGTAGCAATTTCAATAACCTGTAATTTAAAAAGATTTTTAGCGTTGCATTCCTGTTACAAGTCTTGTCTTTGTTAATAAGGTTTTTATAGGTGTTAAGATTTTATTTATTTATTTAAAATACTCTTGTATAGAGCCAAAATAGCCAAAAGGCAGTTAACACAATCAAAAGAAAACAATAACAAACCACTGCCTACAACAACAAGAGCAATAAACCATTTAGACCAATTAATCCGCCATAGAACAGCAATCGACCAACTACAGTGGCCAAGGTTTTGTTTGTTTTATTCAGGGGCATTGCCACATGTTTTCCTATTATAGATAAAGTTAAGAAAGCAAAGATTTCAGAGAATATATCTACTCTACCAAATCTCCAGTTTTGTTTTAAATTTAATGTAATTGTAATTAAATAATGCTACCGAATAATGTCACCTGTCAGGTTCAGATTTAGTTCCAAGTTTAGCTACACAAGAGAAAAGAAAGACCAGGCACACCTCCTTTCTGCTTCTTATCAAGGTGGGGTTCACTGTTTGGTCACTGGTGTCAGTCATTTTAGCACATTTAAAACAGTTCTTAGTTGTATTCCTGTTCTTAGACGGTTACTTGGGTGCTTCAGACATTGCCTAGCTCATTATTCCTTGCAGAAGGTCATGGCCTTTTTTCTGTCAGACTAGAACTATTCACTAATTAGAGACCATTGTTTGGCACTGAATGTGTCATGCCTGCAAGCCTTCCTACTGGGATCAATAGCATTTGTGTTCACTTTCATAAATGTGTAATAGCTGCAGACCTCAGCAGAAACTACCTACTCAGCTTGTGCTAGGGGCATCTAACATAGACCTTAGAAAAAGCAGGCATTATCATGACTCTTGGTCAAGACCAGTTATTAAACAGCATGAATGCTTTCTTTCTTTGTTCAAGTTTATAATTTTGTGTTATCATGAAAGTCTTTAAACACCCTCTGTCTTGTCAGTAATCAGACAAACTCAGGACTGTTTTTTATTATTTACTAAAGCATGTCAACACTGGAAAAATATTTCATACTCCTAATTTCATACAAATGGTATTTCATATGAATGACATTTCATACTCCTTTTCCACAACCCTAATTGCAGCTTTTCCTCAGAACAGTTTTCAAAATGTGAATTGAATCTCTCTAAAATGTGTGAAGTCAATGCTGATTATTCACTGTACGTGTGGTGGCTGAGTGGCATCATTTGTTGTTTTGGCACATGGCCTTGGGTCTGGTGTGGTGAGGACATATGGCAGCTTTCCCCAGTGTGGGATAAACTCCACTGGTGTGCTTTCACTAGTCTAATTTCACCCTGCAGTTTCCTTTTCACAAGTGGTGGTTTCCACCAATTCCATTGTGCAAATGCAGTCCCCTTATGGGAGGATGATGCAGCATTTCCTAGAAGCCTCAAAACAAATGAAAATATTTGATTCTGGAAGGAAGCAGATTGCAGGAGCTCTCTCATGTGAGGGGATTTCTTGCACAACACAAGTGGTGGAATGTAAGATAATCAGTAGGTGCGTAAATACAGTATTGGATTGCTCCTGGAACCATCCAGATGTTAACATCCTCAATTCCCATCAGTCCTAGCCAGCATATTTAATGGTCAGGAATATTGAGAATTCAAAATAACTGGAAGGTACTAAATTGGGGAAGGTTGGTATATTGATTGTTATGTTGAACCATGTTCTGAAAGCATTTGTGCCTTGGGTACATAGTTTTGGTTTCTATGCACTATACATAGTACATTTTTCTTTCGCTTAGGGCAGTGATTTCAGATTTTATATAATCGGTAGCAGTTTCTGTGTATGCATATTTGCTGAGCTGCAGGAGATTTACGAAGATTTGCATATTTTCAGTTTGTGTAGGACTCTCTGGAAAAGTTTCCCACAGGCTGTCTGTCAGAGGGGAAAGGCAGTAATGGTAATGACCTTTTGGGTTCAATCACTTGTTATCAATCTTGTGTTTGAGAAGCCTTGGTAGAATCCATTTTGAAAACTACTGGTTTAGGACCATAAAAGAACTATATCACACATTCTCTTCTTTTAACTGTAGATGAATGCATGCCCAGTCATTCTCACCACTTCCTAATCATATTTTGTTCTTGAAATCTTGTGATGGAGATCACAGCCTGCTTTCACACAGCTCAAAATATACTCATCTTCGGTAAAGCTGGGAATCTGACTAATGCTTACCTGCTTTCTGAATTGCAAGATGATTTGGATGAACATAATGTGCTCCATATTGGCAAAATTATCATATATTATGCCCATGTTAA